GACTCCTTGGGTACTAATGGTGGTAATTCCATCTTCAGTGGAACATCCGACTTGTCCTCCCCCATACATTCCTCCACCACATGGCAAAACCCAGCCTTTCTTGAGTTATTATCATGTGCATTAATCTTCTCCTCATTCACAGAGTCAATAACACCCTCCAAATTCGCTGGTCTGGTCATGTACTTCTTGATCATATTTATGTTGTAAACCTTCAGTTTTCCATTAACATTGATCAAGTAATCAACCTTGGAAATTTTCTTAACCACTGTAAATGGTCCTTTCCAGCAGTCCAACAGAAAATTTGTTTTATCCGGTAACAGGACAAGAACTTCGTCATCCGGTTCAAGTACAACTAGCTTCCGATTTCGATTAGCATAATCTCTTTGTTGTACTCCAGTTTTCTCCAGATTACTCCTCGCGATTTGACAAGCAGACATTATTCTATGTCTCAGTTCTATCACAAAATCTGCATAAGTCTGTTGTGCTTCTTGTTTTTCTTTTCCTAGCCAGGCGTCCTTTAAAACAGACAATGGGCCCCTGGGGTTCGTACCATATACTAACTCGAACGGTGAAAAACCCGTACTTGACTGTGGTACCTCGCGATAGGCAAACAATACAGCTGGAAGGTACTTGTCCCAGTCCTTAGGGAAAGCCGACGTAACTTTTGCTAACATGCTCTTCACCGTGCCATTAAAATTTTCTACAACACCATTTGCTTTCGGGTTGTACCGGGCAGCAAAGACATGGGCAATGGACAACAATTTTTCAAAAGATTTCATAGATTCAGAAATGAATTGCGACCCATGGTCCGAAAGGATAGTATCTGGGAAACCCAGACGAGAAAAAATAAGCATTAAAGACTCCGCTACAGCCTCAGATGTAATGTATCGTAAAGGGACACATTCGACCCATCTTGTAGCAAGATCTATGAAGGTAAGTATAAACCTGTTCCCTCTCTCAGACATGACCGATAATGGACCTACTATGTCTATTGCTACTTTCTCGAATGGGCGATAGGGCAAATATGTACTCTGAATTGGAGCCCTCTGTAATGCACCTCTCCTAGACATCAACTGACAGTCCTTACATGATCGGCAATAGTTACGAATATCCGTAGAACACCCTGGCCAATAAAACTGAGATAAGACTCTTCTCTGCGTCCTACCGATGCCCAAATGCCCCGCAAATGGGGTATCATGTGCAGTTTTCAAAACTTCAACCCTATAGATGAGTGGTACAACAAGCTGTTTGTAGGAGTTGTTGGCTCTCTCAAAATACCTCATAAGAATGCCATTTTTTATGAAGAAGTACCACTTCCCTCCCTTACTTTTCTTATATCCAGAGTATTGTGCCTTAAGAAAATACTTCTTCAAAGTTGGGTCCGATTGCTGGCATTCCTTGAAACTACCCTGGGCCCCTGGTTTTGATGTACTGTTATGTTCTTCCGAGGTTATGGTTTCTGGAATAACCAGCTGACTTCCATCAGAAGCCTCCACAACTGCATCGGTTTTGGCGTATTCATTTTTTTGAATTTGTTGGGCTCTTGTGACCACTGCGTTTGCCACTCGTTCGTGAGCACTGTACCAATGTTTGATTTCTTCTTCAGTTGGTTCCTTTACACCCTTTACCGTTCCCAACATTATTCCCGCAGCTGGGTGTCGCAAAACGCACACCTCTGCATGACCCTTGAAAAAACAGCAATCCAAAAATGCTCGAGCCAGCGGGTAAGTCTCAATTCTCCCCCCAAAGGTTCTACATTTTACACTTCTTCCCAAATAGTCAGATTTAGGCACTAGGTATTTTGCAACCCCGATTACATTGGCGCCACTGTCCCTTAACACAGTACAACTTTTCTGACCCACATACCCTTTATGGATGGGTAACCCCCCGATCTGAAAGGTTGCTGATAAGGTGGGGTATATAACTTGGGGTCTTACTTTCACTATGTCATTGTATATTTGGGTAGATCTACCGTTGTCTCCTACCTGTGCCGCACTTGCTTTACCCTTTACTACTTTAGGGCATACACTACGTTTGTGTGGTCCTGAACACAGGAAACACTTAATAGTTCTAGATCTGAAAAAACTTTTTCCCGGTGGGTTGTCATCATCCCTCCTATCCCTATACTGGCAGTCTTCAGATCTGTGTCTCCAGGACCCACAAAATTTACAGCCGGGCTGCTCATTATTAGTGAGGCCCTTCCACTGTTGCTTCCCCTGTTTGGGCCTCTGGACCGTTGTCGAATCCTTATTCCTAAAGCTCCCATGATTCTGTGTAACCGGAGAAGGTCTGACCTGAAGGCCTGCCGCTGCTGGGAAAAAATCGTCAATTTTCTCCTTATGTATCGCCTTCCCTGGATGAGCTGTGATATATTGTTCACCCAGTGTGATCATATCCTCCAAACTCCTAGGTTTTCTTTTTTGAAAAAAAGTACACAAATCATTGCTGCAGGATAATAATACCTTGTCTCTCAAAATAAGATCAACCAATTTATCAAAAGATGTGCCGACCTCTGCCAAGTTCACCCACCTGAAAAAAATGGTTTTTACTTGAGCAACATACTCAGAGAAACTGACATCTGGTGTAGGCATCAGTGTATGAAACTGATTCCTATAACCTGCTTCTGTTAACAACCTAGATGCCAACAATTTCTGACGTACAACAACATACGACTTTCTCTCCTCTTCTGAGAAATTACTAAATGTTATTAGTACTTTCCCAGTCAGTAGGTCTCGCAGTCGAGACACCCATTGTGCTTCTGGGATGCGTCCACTGCGCATCGCATCTTCAAAACGGTCCAAATAAGAATGAATATCATCCTGGATACCAAGGTAAGGTAACCTTGGCTTGTAGTTGCTCAAATCATGATCACCACAATCTTTGTTACCTTCCTTTGCATCCGCCGTCTTGCTGGCCTCTGCCAGAGCTACAGCCCTATCTCTTTCGATCCGAGCTAATTCCAGCTCTTTATTAGCTGTAACTGTCATGGCTTCTACCTCTGCCATCTCCCTCCTATGGGCCCTCTCCGCAGCTCTCTCTTTCCTCATGGCGGCCTCTCTTTCAGATAGCTCTCTCATCCTAGCCTCTGCGAAGGTGACTACATGTTCTGCCTCCAGGCCTAGGTCTCTAGCCATCTGAACGAATTCGCTGAATGACATGTCAGTATTTTTACGCGGTATGACGAGATGCTATAAAATGGCACACTAATCACGCACTTAGACCTTTACAATATTCACCTAGCCTAAACTTAACTGGACGACCTAAACACACTACTTTGACGATGAATAACAGATCAAAAGACAAGAAACATAGGGCTACCAAGCATACACAATGCAGCGAACAATGCAATAAACTTATGAATCCAAAAACTAACCACAAAGTACATCACCTCATGAATATCGCATCCAAACAATGATGGTGAAGCATTTCCAATTCACACTCAGAAGCAGCTTAGCGGAAATCGATCGCTCCACTCACAGGAATACCGCAACTGTAAATATCAGCTGATCAGCGCTCTTCATTAAACACGCTTAGAAACATGACACACGGCTAGCATCCATCCTTGCAAAACCATATTTGATCTCCTTCAGTGTCACTACATGTCTCACAGTTCATTGACTTTAGGTAAGTGGTTTCCTGGCTTGACCTCGAAGAAAAAGATCACAGCAAAGTCAAGTTCTCCACAGCGACGTCTCCGCTTGACGGCCTTGATCTCAGTGACGCAACACGGGTTGACTTCGATGACAGGCGATGATATCTCCTCCCAGCGACTAATTCTGTGGGCAAGACTTTGGTTCCCAATGAAGAATTCTCTAGGCCAGGTTTCAGTGCCTAATTATGAATTCTCCGGGACAGGCTTCGGCCCCCATTGACGATACTTCTGACTAAAGAACAAAACCAATGGGACAAAATGTCGTATCACACTTGTGACCAGAGGTCCCTCATTCTTTAAAGGCTTGGCTCCCCATTGACGTGTGCGAATGTTCGCTTGATACAACGCACACTTGCCAAGTATCCATGGTATGTTAAATAGTGTTACAGTAACAAGTCACCATTCCCGCCCAACAGCAATAAGGACGCCGGATACATGTTGAACGTCAAACAGAATTAATGTATTTATAATTTCAACACCAAAACAATGAAAGGCATCACGAGAATAAAACGTTACACCGCCACAGTCATTCCTACTGGCAAGGCAACACACACTACGGACGCTCTGGGCTACTTCTACTGCCACCCTGTTCCGTGGTCAACTACGAGCAAACATTACCTGCTCGTGCAAACTCACTGCTCGTGGTTATGTGTCTACCTCTATGACACCCATCCCTTGGGTACACTGTCATAGCAGAATCATACAGGCCGATGCACAGTACATTGTGAAACTTGTCCAGACCTTTCGTCTGCGGCCACACGAGCGTCTGTCACGCTGGCGCGACCGCTGTAACAACACTCACAGACAGCCCGTACCCTACCGCCAGCGTAACACAGTTATGCAGGACCAGCCTGGATCCATCCAGATTAGAACAGGCTTCCTACACAGCGTAGTAGAGTCCACCGTTACTCACTCTCTCTCTCTCTCTCTCTCTCTCTCTCCATTACGTTCAATGTGTGCGCACCGCACCAAGTCCCACGTTCAACAATGAACTTCCCTTCCCATATATTGCACACAACAATTGGCACAACAGGATAAGGAATAAATGAATAAGTAAGGCGCCACTGTAACGTATTGGCTTCATGTTTGTCTACCAGCCCAAAGGTCTAGGGTTGGAATCCACATAGCCGCAGATATTTTGTTTTCCTAATTGACCTTGACTGCCAGTCCCTAAAATTCCTATCAGGTAATGTCTTGGGAAGTAAAGGTGGCTGGCAAGATGTTGACCACATCAGTCACAGAGTGCTGATTGGTCTGTAAAAATAGAAGTCTAGTATCATAAGTGGAATGTGCCCTGGTGTAAAAAGGGTTCTTTACTTTTCACTTGGATATTTTAAATATATTGCAGGCAATCTTGTGTGGATTAACTGTGATGTGCCCAGAAGATTATCTCAGCTTTATACTTGACAAGCTGATGTATCTGAAAAAACATGGACTGGAAATACTTCACTGGTCGGTTTATTTATTTGTAGCATATTTAATCTTCTCCCTATCACAATGTGATACCTTTTGAATATGATTGTTCATAGTTCATTTTTGAGATCATCTTTATCTGACATGACCATAAGTGCTCTGATCTCCTCCTGAATATGTCTCCAAATGTTTTTAGGTTAACTACCCCCATTATGAAAAACATTTTGTGCAATATATCCTTGTCATTGAGAGTCAGAAAAAGAATTCTTGCTTGCTACATACATCCAGTTTTAACATATGGCTGTGAATCCTGGATAATCGGTAGGCAGGCCAAACAATTTCTGGAGGCCTCAGAGATGTGGTTTTACAGAAGAATGCTTAGAATAACTTGGGCAGCCAAAAAGAGCAACCAAGAGGTTTTGAAAGAGGCGGGAGCCCGAAGACAACTTATCACAGACATCAGAAGGAGACAGTCATCATTTTTCGGTCATGTTATGAGAAGAGGGAAAATAGAACATGTTGTGACCACTGGAAAGATATGTGGAAGGAGAGATAGAGGAAGACAATGAGAGAAGATGCTTGACAGTCTTGTTGCATGGCATGGAGGTGTGTCAGCACACGAACTGATACAGAACTGCAGGAAATCGCAGATTATGGAGAGGCATGATCGCCCACGCCAGTCGGCAAGGCACCTGATGATGATGATGACTCCCATTATGAATATTTATTCTGTATAAATCCTACAATTTTTTTAATTGGTTCTTATTTATTGTTGATAATTTCCTCTGTCTCTGCCTCCATCTCTCCCTTTCTCTCTCTCACACTGTGTGTGTGTGTGCACACGCATGAGCATGCGTGCGTGTGTGCATGTATGCGCGCATACATATAATTAACACATTGTGTTGGTAGATTAGGGCTCTAACAACACAACCCACAGTACCTCAGAGAGTACACAAAGGGGTTTAATATTTATTCTTCTTTTGTCTTTTTTTTTTTCACCTTCTACTTTCTGTATATCAATGAAACATTTGATAAAGAATAAACCATTTGAAATATGTTGACTGTGACTTGTCTATTTCCAGGGACATATTTATAGAGGATTACATGAAGCCTAAAGTTAGGATAGTCACAGAAAGCAATCTGGATATGATCTTCAATTTTGACGAATGGCTAATGGTAGGTAGAACTCTTTTTATAATTATAATAACAGCTAAAAGTAGTCTTACGTCAGGTACTTCCATTGGAAGTTCTAGGTGTTCACACATTCTAGGCTATAATATATGAGGTCTTGTGATCAGCTCTCCTGCTGCTTAGTTGCCACCTTTTCTTTCCAGAAGGATCCCAGAAAGTACTGGAAATGATAGGGGGCCCATGTTTTTGTTTAGGCTAGTCTGACCTTATAGCCATACTAGTAAGAAAAAAAACCTTATAGTTTCTAGGAAATGAATCTGAACCATTATCTTTTCAGGAAGATTAATTTTATAATTAAAATACCGTAAAACCTCCTTAACATGCAACCATGAGTTTGTGTTAGTAGAATTTGAGGACTTGTAAGTCAGGATGGCTGAGCAATCTAAGGTGCTGCATTCAGGTCACAGTCTACCCTTGTGGGTGTGGGTTCAAAACCCACTTCTAACATTATTTTATTATGTTTCTCTGTGGTGAAATGGTTAGGCCGTGTGCCTAACGCTCTGAAGGTTGTGGGTTCATTTCATGGCTGTGCCCTTCAGTTCATGAGTGCAGTTTGTATGTAATCCATGCTCTGTGTGGTGCTCTTGGCAGGTAGCTAGCTGTGCTGCCGAAAGAGACAGAGCCATATGGAATAAAACCCAGTTGAATCTGGGCTGAAACTGGCCAGCGCTCAACACTCAGGGGAAAGACGAGATGGATATACAATCAGACAGACAATCTCCTATTGATATATGTTAAAATTGAAAGAACATTAGAATTGAAAATATGTAACTTGTTTTAAAAAATATGTAATGGGAAGTTCCAAATTGTGTTCAGGCTTTTAAAAGACTGTTGCCTTGCCAATGTGTATCATTATTTCCTTCTTTGTGTTTCCTTGGCAACCAAAATTGTGACCTAAATAGGTAAACTGATCTGTTATGTTAATTCTTTTTTTGTCCCTAGTGTGACTTCTCCTTTATCTGATGTTGATGTCTTTAATATTTATTTGTATTTTCGTTACTGATTTTGAAATCTGATTTTGGATACTATGTTTGCTAGATAATCTTCTTCTTCTTCTAATTTGTGTTCACCAGCTGTAAACTCAGGTAGAAAGTTCTGGTTGTTCGCCAACTTCTGGACTGTAGTCCCGTTCCAGACCCTTAGTGTTGAGTGCACATCCATTTTACAGATCTGAATCATTTATATGCAGACTGTTGGTTCTTGGCCACTCTGACTTTGAAGGAAGCTAAATAATCTGTTTTTCTTGGTATGTAGTTCCGAGTACAAGTTACTAATACATCTTAGGATTTTCTTTCTATGCCTATATCTTGATAGCATGTAATTAAATGTCCATATTGTGGTGGGAAAAATTTCTTCTAGTCTTTGAAAATACATAATTTAAAAGAAAAAGCTGATTAAAAATAAGTAAAAACCAACAGCATTCCACTTTTTTCAACAGTGTTTATAAATAAAGTGGAAAGGAGTTACAAGCAGAATTCCAAAGGAGTGAAGAAATAAGAGCCACTAGTATCAGCATTTATAAGACAGAGAAGATTGAACTACATTGGACACAACCTGAGAAGAAACCAGCAGAGAATCACCAAACAGACATTACAATGGGAAATAAAGAGATTAAGGAGGCGAAGACGCAAAAAAGAAACCCTAAAACCCATGTTAATGAGAAAAGCTAAAGCTGCTGGACTTGATTACATCCCTGACATTGGAGTTATCACACAGGACAGAGCATAATGGAGGAATAGACTGCTAGCCCTATGAGATATATATTGGCACAACAGGACAATGAATGAAGGAATGATAGCTGAATGGATCTTTATTTTTCAATCACCTGTTTCATACATGTGCATGAATGATATTCAATGTTATTATGAACAGATACATGAAAATTCTGATTCTCACTTCTCATAGCATGATTACATAATTTATGTTAACCTTTTCAGTATCGAAAAATTCGTCACACATTTCTTTGTCATGCCAAAGATAATATAATGCTCTTGCTCTCTTCCATCACAGAAAGTCATTATGTCAACCCTTTCTATTTAAATTATTAGTTTAACAACTTTTTACCTGTGCAGTCTCTATTGAGCTCCTTCAGTGGTATGTATGTGTTTCTGTTAAGTTCAATTGCTTAGAATAGAGGGTGTAACAGTTACAACTTTTGGGACTGAAATACTTGCAAATGACCTAGCTGAAATGTTACAAGTTTTTCTACTGCCCTTTTCTCCACAGCCAACAGCAGAGATGTACATTAAAGCCTGTTCATATTACAATATGAAGTTGGAGCGAATGTGTTTTTGGTGAGATATCTGTTTTGAAGTTATACCCGTTCTGTTATTTCTACATTCTTATGTCTTGAGATAAAATAATAAACAGAAGATACAAGCAGTTATTGCTGCTTAATTTTTACATTTTTACTGACTCGGTACCAAACTGTTCAGCGCAAGTTTATTGGTGTCAGCAGATATGGGAAATGTAATGAAGACAGGGAAAGACGGAACAACATAGCATCAAGAACAGCTTTAGAGAGATGAATATCAACTTATATAACACTAGAAAGAGCAAACAGAAGATCCTTACATCTCCAGCTTTGAGTCAGCAGTAGTTATACTGAAGCATGCTCGTTTAGTATTGCAAGCAAAACAAAATTTAAGTAGCTACATTTCAACAGGCCAATTGCTGTGGTGTAGTGGATCGGAAGGTCATTGGTTAAGGTTTATACTTTTGTTTTTTAAATGACCTTGGCTCCTAGGTCAGCCCAACCTAAAATGGATACGAGGTAAAGTTCTGAGAAGTAAAGATGACCGGCGTGATGCTGACCACATCAGCCACAAAATGTCGATTGGTCTATAAAATATAGGTCTCACCCTGTATGCCCAATATGCCTGAAGATTTAGAGAAGGGTCCTTTACTTATTTTCTCTGGATTTCAACAAGCTTAAATCTCTGTTAAATTAAATGGATCAGCTGACTGTTTTGCAATGGATCCCAGGCCACTGCTTGCAACATTATGGGAAATTCCTTTTCTGCCTTCATCTGAGGATGTAAATGCTTTTGCTCTCATTTACAACATGGCTGTGATAGTTGCACATCCGACTTTGGCATTTGTTGATTGGGTTAGCCTTCCTGGTAGAATTAAGGGAAATGAAAGAGCAGACTGCTTAGCAGAAACTGGGAGCAATACAGAACAACTGGAGACAGGATGCATTTATAAAACAAATAAAAGCCAGATCAAGGTGGCCATTAAAGCACATTGGAACACTTCCTATCCAGGGCGCAATCCTAAAGACCCGGTCCCCTTGCCATATGAAAGAAACAGAATATTATATGTGTGTGTGTTGTCCATCAAGATGATGATGACCACTCTTTTTCATCAAGTATGAGTACAAAGATGACTGATGAGGCTGATGAGGGCCCAAAAAGTTCTTGGACAGTGAGGACATATATGAGGATATACAGTGAGGATATATAGACTATGAACTGGACACACCAGGCTCAGCGACCATATGTACAGGATATTCAAGACTGGGGACTCAGAACATGCCCATGTGGGCAGGCACCACAGAATACTGAAGATGTGCTGTAGACATGCTGTCTGTTTGCAGGTGAGAGATTCCAGATTTGATCAGTTGGTATTCCAGTTGAAATCAAGCTATATGGGTCAGTGGAGGCATGCATCACACCAGTCTTTACAGATGCATGTGGCCTTTTTATCGTAAAACTTGTGGCAAGGAGAACAAAAAAGCAGATAATTGTGTGTTCTATGTTAAAAAACTGATCAAATATCTTCTCTCATTGTCTTCTTTTATTTCATTGTCCATATATTGTACCAGTTTTCAAAATTTGTTATAGTTTTCCTTGTCACAAAATAAAACTAAAGTGATGACTTTTTTTCTTATGTTTGTGATGTTACCTGTTTCCTTGCCACTTTCAGAATATTTAGCTTACTCATTTTGGCTGTCCAAGGAATTTTCAGTATTGTTCCATAAATCACATTTCTGAGATCTTTGTGAATTTTTTTTTTTTTTTTTTTAAGAATTCACAGCCAAAAGCTAATGTTCTATTTAACATACACACATTCTTCTTCTTTGTTCCCCCTTAATACAGTGGTTGGCATGTTGTGTTGAGGTTTACATTCAGACTGCCACATCTGCCTTTAGGTCCAGCACATCAGTGGCAGCAAACTTCTAATTAGTCACTGTTTATTACATTCTCATTGGGGGCAGTGTGTCTGTTCTTTTCCCCCCAAAATGTGAAACCCTGAAACCCACACGAGGAATGCAAGAATTCTGTATAATCGTTGTGGCTATTGGCATATTTTCTACAGATCTTATTAAATGCTCACTGTATAATTAAAACAAATTAGAGGATAGCACCCCTCCTTGTTTGATACAAATCTTTATGCACGATATGTTAATAAATTTTTATATATTAGTATATTAGACGTGAATAGCGGCGTCCGTGGCTAAGGCGTTGCGAGTCTGACTCGTAATCCAACGTACCCCGATCGAAACCTGTGTGGGCCGCGTGGATTTTTATCGTGGTATGGGACGTCGCAGGTCGACCCAGCCTCAAATGGGTACCAGGATGGGCTGTCCTGGGAAAGTAAAGACGGCCGGCGTAATGCTGACCACATTACCCACCGAGTGCCGATTGGTCTGTAAAAATATGGGTGCTCTTCCCATATGCCCGATGCGCCTAAGGGCGTGTAAAGGGATCTTTACTTTTTTTTAAACTATATTAGACGTGAGTTTTGTCCATGATTTATTGAAATCTCTGTGGATTTAAGGCGGCATGGCTATTGCAGCCAATACCAGTTGTATACATTAGTATATTATATTTTACCCTCGACAGAAAACCCTCTATCGCCTTACCAAGGATTCAAACCCAGGTCTTCATCATGAGAGCCCACCATTCTAATACTTACCTTTTCAACGTTTTCTTGTTTTTCATCTATTTTTTTAATAGGAATTCCCCTGTTGGACGCACCTATTATAAGGCATAACTTCTACCATGTCTACTACAAGGAATTAAACTAAACCAATGTGATAATTGCAGTTACTAACCACTCTAACACAGTAACAATCAATAAATAGACAAAAACAGCAGAAAATGTTTACAGTGGCAATATTTATTTTCAGTGCTATAATGCAGTATCACTTAATGCAGAAGCGGAAGAAGGCAGTGTTTGCAAGCAAAATGAACAGTGCGGTGCATCATCATATAAAACACTTACTTCATGTTCATTTTGGAATCTGGAAGGTAAGTTTTTGAACATTGTAGATCATATTTAACATTTGTGGCACGGTTATATTGATCACAGGCATGAGAGAAAGTTAAGGCTGTTGTTGTGTGTATAAGGAGTTACTTCATACAACATCTCAAGTGCTAGCCGGCTCTTGCATGGTTTTAAGGATCCTCATGAAAGACTCCTGCTGCATGTCCATGTCGTGTGCCATGGATAAGGGTTCACCTTTGTGACGTGAACCTAGCTGGCAGGGGATCTCGGAGTTGGTAGTCTCTAGAGATGTTGTGTCCAACCTGGCTCACATCAGCCCACTCCAAACGCATGGGTGAGAACGTTTATAAAAACTCATTTGGAACATAGGTAAGGTCCCCTGGCTGAAAATACTACTAAATGATAACCCTCGGTTAAAACGTCTGTCGAGTTGGAAGAATCACTGTACTGCTGACATTCAGCACACACACACACACACACAAAAAAAACAACGTTAAAGGTGTCTAACGTGTCCAAGAAAAATGTACTTACGTATCGATGTCCCAGACATGAGGGCTGCTCCCTGCTGATCTTCAGAGGGTGCAGCCCATGATGATTGGAAAGCTCAACATACGGATGTGAGATTAAGCAGACATGTGGAATACATGACAATTTCTCGGTGAGCCCAGGACCAGAGCGTTATTTGTCAGCTCTGCATTTATGGACGCCTCCTTGGACGGCAGGGAATGCCCATGATCTGACCCTGCCTTTCCTTGAGGGCCAACCTGTCTACACGTGGATACCCTGGACAAAGCCTCCAGGGGCAAGACCCATAGGAAAGGGGACAAAAAGAACACCACACAAATAAGGCCACAACATGTTCCTGTCCCACAAAACAATCCTGGAATTTAACCTGGTCAACAAATGCTTGATGAAGTTGGATGTGTTGAACGAAAGGAGCAAATATCACAACTTTGCTGTAAACAGGCAAAATGCATTTAGGTCACTCGGGACGAACGAAAAAAAGAAGATATTTAACATTTTCTTGATGTTCGATGTGGCATTTGGGAATAAGTGTTTCCATATTAAACTCCAGCTTAAAAAATAAATTGGCTTTTTGAGTGACAGGGAGTGTCACTCTTCCAGGTAGCAGTGGAAAAAAAAGGGTGGGGGGGGGGGGGGGGGGGGGAATCAGTCTTCTACTCAGTTAAACAATCAGTATGCATACACTGTTCATTCAATGATGTATCATCATGGTGTTGTCATTATGTTGATTTATTTTACAAAAATATAGTCAGATCCTGTAAATTAATTTTTTTTTAATATTTCAGGCATGGGTGAAATATAGGAAGGGAAGACAAGCAAGTAAGTTAGTTTAAAATGTATTCATAGTTATTTATCTTGTACTAATGCTTTCATCATCCTCAATTATCTGCATTCTTGTTAGGCAATGTTCCAAACTTCTTCTTCTTCTTCTTCTTTGTGTTCACCCACTGTAAATTCAGGTTTAAAGTTTTGGTTCCTGACTTGAGGGTGGAGACACGCCAAGTGGTTCGTTTAGTGTTCAGTGAGGGAATCATATCAGTGGATTTTACTTGCAGATATTTTAAAATACATTTTTTATCTTTAAAGATTTGCTAACAGACTATTTTTCAGACTAATTTGTAAGCAGTTTTGTTAAACATAAATGTTATGGAAATCATCACCTTCATCGTATAGCAAGTAATTTGTAGAATATTACTCATATCACAGCCCACTGAGAAGACTTTATATCTTCCACAATTTATCTGCTTTATATATTTCTGTTACTGCTTTGTCATTCATACAGTGTGTTAATTGATTCCTGCCTCTTAGACCAGAAACAATGTCCCCTATGATTAGTTGCTCCCTTAGGTCTTGTATCTCCTGCCCACTTTTAGCATATCTCAGTGTGTTTTATTCTTCAATTGATATTTATTAGTACATGCATTTCTCCAACTTGTTTAAAAATATTTTCTGTACATAAATTGAAAAGCTTTGAGAACAGCATACACACCTGTTGTTCTCCTCTTTTTTTTTAAAATCTCTCTCTGTGTTGAGTAGTACACATTATTGTGTCTGACTGTTGCTATTTGTTCCAAATATAGGTTATTAATAAATCTGCTATCATCTTGCATTTTATCTTGTATGGTCCTGAAGAGTACCCTAGTCGTGTGGCCCCTTAAGCTAGTTGTTCTGTAGTTTTCACAATCAGCAGCTTAAGACTTCTTGCACAAAGTGATGAATGTAGATGCTTTTAAGTCCTTAGGGAGGTAACCAGAGTTTTTTATATATACTAGCAGTCCCAAATTTGGATAATGATTTTATTATTACTGTTGTTATATTGTCATGGCCTACAGCTTTCCCATGCTTCACATTTTTTAAACGCCTTCAGCTTTTAAAATGTTAGGTCTATCCTACAGATTGCACAGTTTTGGTTTGTTATCTCCCTTATTCCAAAATAGTCCTTTTATGTATTCAGTCCACATTTATATTATACCTTCTTATCAATAAAAACAACATATGGAAGACTAAGTGTGTATATATATATATGTATATATACAAATATATATACAAATGTTTTACAATGTCCTGTATGTCATCTAGTGTCTTTTCAGATAATACAGCATGTATACCACACATTAATGGGGAAGGTTATACTTGAAGCTTGGAATAAGCACACCATGGAGGCTCATAGGCAGAGAGAGTATTTTGAGGTAAGGACTATTATAACTGTGAATATTTAATGATTATTAATGTGTATGTCAGATAACAACCGACCTGCATTCGACAAGAGGTTACTTTCTAACTTTTTCTTCTTACTTTGGGGGCAGTGAATCCACATCACTTGCCAGAATGGCAGACTTGGGAATTAAGATCCGCATAGCAAAAAACGAGAGGCACACCAGACACACCAGAAGACTTGTTAATCAACATAGAACTGGTACTATTACCCATCGGACGTTGGGGTTCATACTGAGGGGAGGATCTGAGCACCTACGAACATGACCGGAGTGCAATGATGATAACCCAACTAACTAACTAACCATTTTCTTGTTCTTGTGTCCTACTGCTCATGCTATATAGCATTGCAGAGAGGTGTTAGAAGTAGTTTCCTGTCTTTTGCTAGTTGCGTAGCTTAGCTTGTGTTAATGTCATACTGTGTTTCTTTAATGTCTCATGAAGTCCCTCCACCCATCTCTTTCTTGGGCAGTCTCTTGCCTTGTCCCTGCCGTTTTCATGTAATATGATGTAGCTGCTGGCTGCTTTTGTTCCATTCTGACCAGGTGACCAAACCATTTGATTCTTTGTTGTTCTTTGAAATTATTTACTGGACTATGGCTACTTTGTACTTAGCTCTTCATAATTCTATCTCTTCTTGTTTTTCCTTCCAGATTTAATATAAATCTCATCTCACAAGTTGCAATTATGCATTTGTATTTCCTAGGGCTGTCCATGTCTGTCATTGACAGCACAAAGATGGTACATATTGTGCACGTATCAACTGATTTTAGTATGACAATCCTTTATTATAATATGAAGTTGTGCACCATTTAATTTTGCCTCTTCATATCGGTTTCCAATATTTCACTTCTGATCATTCTCCTTGCTTTTCTACCACTGCATCCTGCAAGTTCTCCCACTGTCATCCTTTGTCCTAACACCATAAGGATTTCCATGTTGATTTTCTTTAGTGATCTCTAATACCTCTTATCGCATTACATGACATATGAATATTAATTGTTTTGTTTTTATTAGGATAATAATGTGCCCCTTTTGTAACTTCTCTTAGTCTTCTTGGCATTCAGCTGCTGTAAACTCTGGCAGGAAGTTCTGGTTGTGTGTCCACTTCTGGACTTTGGTCTTGTTCCAGAACTAAAATATTTTTTGCAGGTGCTTACCTTTTCAATGCCATGTGGAAGAGGTAGTTTTAAAGATAGGGAAAGATATGAAGTGTAACTCATGAACCAGCGATTTCACTGCAGATTTTTTTGTCTCAGATTATTGTTTAAATTGCAAATCACTTAATATTTGTTTGTTTGCCTTCACTGGCTATAAACTTCTGTGGAAAATCCAGGTTTTTTTGGTCTATTTCTGGACTCTAGCTTTGTTGGCTCTCCTTTAAATAACGGTCGCTAGCTGAAAGGCGACGGCCGCTTGGTCGGAGAGTCTGCATACCATTGTCAGAGTCTGCATACCATTGTCAGAGTCTGCATACCATTGTCAGAGTCTGTATACCATTGTCAGAGTCTGCATACCATTGCCAAAGTCTGCATACCATTGTCAGAGTCTGCATACCATTGTCAGAGTCTGCATACCATTGTCAGAGTCTGCATACCATTGTCAGAGTCAGTACAAAGCTGACAAAGGCCAAATCACATGCAGTTGAACTGGACTAGGTAGTTTGGAGTTATGAACCAAGCTAGCCACAGACGCCGATAATATTTGATACAATTGGTAAAAATGATCTGTGGATATTGCTTTAGCCATGAGGTCTTGAATTCTCAGGCTCAAGACCCCCTACTGCACACTGCACTAAACATCAGTAAAATAAAGACAGCGAGGACTGTTATGTTTAGTGGAAATGATGTGCAATTCAGTACATGAATGTGTAAAAATATTGAGAAACAAATGAATTAATTAACTATTATTGTTTTGCCTATACAAGCATCAGTGGAACTTTGGTAAAACTGCACACATGCAAATATCACCATCACTGTTTGATAAGGCCCACTGTTTTTGTATGTCTTGCATGCTGTTGAAAGCCATTTGTGGTAAACTTATTAATTATCATTTTTTGGGGGAATTATTTAGTAAGTAAAGTAAGTAAAGGACCTTTTTACACCAGTGGTGGGTAAGGTATATGATGCTAGACTTATATTTGTAGACAAGTTGACATTTGATGGGTAGTATGGTCATCATCATGTCAGCCACCGTTACTTCCAACAAAATTACCTAGTACCCAGTGCTTTTTTTTTTCTGGTGGTATGCAATGGTACAATGTACTGGCACCTTTGTTTATGTATGACTTTTTTTCAGCACTACAATGATAGACACTTGTGAATACCACTAATTCTTTTTAGACACTTTATGATGAGTATGGGCACCTATTTTTCTTAGAAGAAAAAAAGCCATGCTGGGACTCATTTTTGACTGGGTTGACCTGGGCGCCAAGGTCAGTTTGGAAAAAAAATTCTGCTTCATTGTGGATTAAGTCAAGACAATGTTATTGCAGCATCCAAAGAATTATTTAGTTTTGTAATGTATTGATTGATGAAATCAGAACTCTCATTCTGAATTCTTGTTGTTTCTATGGCCAACAGTGATGATAGACCTCAGTTATTTTTACTGTAGTCTGTGTGTTTCTTTCAACGAAGACCATCTTGATTGATATATTCAACTGTAAAAACTTTAGTAACATAGTGCATGAATTATTGGTTTGACGACTGCATGCATTTGTTGTAAATAGGAAATAATTTTGCTTGAGTCACAAAACACATAATTAAGGGACTGATTGAAAGCTGAGGTAGATTTCACACACAAGCATTAGTTTAATCCCCTATGGTGGTTCATGGTGTGAAGTTCATCTGGTTCTGCCACTATATCAGATAGTCAGCCATTTGATAGAACTGACATTAGTTGAGTTGAAAGTTGAAAAATTAGATTGTCTACAAAGTGTAATGTCAAAAGATGATGTTCGAATGCAGCAATTAGAATTGAAATACAGAGTGCCCAGAAATGAGCAGAAAACCAAACACACTAGTAGAAAACATGGAACTGGTAAAACTATTTGTTGTACTCTGGTGGATTTATTATAGAGAAGATCAGAGCATGTGTGGTCATCTATAAAGAAAATACAGTGAATACAGCGGACAAACAGAAAAACATATCAGCTCCAGCTGCATAGAAAATGGGTCACCCCACAGCTGCTCCATTCTCATGTTAACAAAAACCACAAAGAATGTCCATCACTGTCTATTATGATAGAAATTGATACAGACAGCAGTCTCAGCAAAGATATGTCATACACATGCATTAAATGCATAAGGCAGCCATCAGAAGTGCTAGCTCAAACAGCCTAACACTGGAAATGTAGTTCACCGTGGATGGAAGCACAGTTACAACAGATCATTAGTTGCACATGCAATTAATTGCATAAGGCACCACTAGTTATCTGTGAAGAAAGGCTACTCAAAATTTGTTGAATCAGCAGGTTTCAGTACAAACTACACTGGGCACAGCAGAAAAATATTCCAAATAAAATCTGTAGCTTATAACCTTGTGTCATGCACTCAAATCAGTAGCTGGGTGACAGAATCACATCCTTCCAGTCTATATATGGAAAAAAATGCAGTGGCTAACTATTATCGTAAGCAAAAACGTGCCACTACTAAAAACAGTACCTTCCTACCCACCATACTGACGGAATGTCAGAAACAACATTTTTCAGCATTTGTTTTAAGGAGCAATAAACTTGAAAGCTTAGAGACTACTGGAAAAAGAACACAAGAAGGCAAAGAGATATAAACCTATATGGCTTAGACACATGGCATAGATACATGGCATACATCTAAGTATTAGGGATAAGAACAGGGACTTGTTATTAGACACTGGTGACTGTGGGAGAAGGCAAACCATGACACTCCATGCTTTTTATATGTGTGGCTTAGCATATGATAAAGATAATATTGGACATGTCCAGAATGCAACAATGATAATCTGTGATGAGCAAAACAGCAGAGAGAATAGGCAAATTATACAAGTCATAGTTACACATCAGTAGAGGAAAGTAATTCCTCACTGCTGTATGGAGCTAAAACATGGAGAACAGTTACAAAAATTACTAATAAGCTAAAAAATTCATTAACAAGTGTCTATGCAGAACAGAAGGAATTAAATGGTGTAGAAGAGGCAGACCACGAAATATGTATATAAAATTCACCTGCCTGGATGAGACTCAAATATGCATACACCAAGTTCACTGCATATGACCTTCAGATGTGAAGGGAACTGATCAGACAATCAGCATCAGCTGTTGACCCAGTGATGTATGGTGTCATGGGAGATGATGATGATGAACCATGAATGACAATGCAGAGGTATATTTCATGCAGTACATTATGCCATACTTGAAGCTGTGGGAATCTGATGAAATCATTTGTGTGAACTGAAGTAATCTTGCTTTGTCATTTGAAACAAGAAAGAGAATTCTCAAGAGCTATATAAATCCTATCCTGATATATGGAAGTGAATCATGGATTGTTGGATGATTAGTTAAAAATTGTTCAGGAGTGGGGGAGTTGTGGTTTTACCATGGACAGATAAAAATGAAGATGTCTTGAAAAAAAACAACTTACAAAGAGAACTAATTGCCCACGTCAGAAGGAGACAATCTACATTCTTTGGCTGTGTCATGAGATGGAGAAAACTGGAGTTTATCATGACAGTGGGAAAGTTGGAGGGGAAATGAAGCAGAGGGAGATAGAGCGAGAAAATACTGGACAGTTTGACATCATGGCATAAAGGATCATCTGTGTCAGAATTGATTGAAGGTACATGAGACAAAAAGTTATGGATAGACAGGACTACCAACGCCACATGGCACGGACTATAAGAATAAGAACTGAGGCTTGTCACCTGCAGGTGTTGTAGACTAATGAGCATGTAACCATGTTTTATACACTATCTCTGACAAGCACCCTCCCTGTTTGATCTA